GACAGTCCTTAGGGTTTGAACTGCAGCTGTAATTTCATATCCCAAACATGTTGCTTACTGTGGACTTACTTGTGCTTTCTGTTGAGAAACTTGATAATCATTTAAACCAAGAAATTCAGCAAACTCACAGTCCAATGCACACTGTCCTCTTTTGTTTTTTTGTGACATCCATGTACTGAAGTAAGGTTCCACCCTGGGATGGAGGAACCCAAGTCTCTGGTTCACAAGTTGACCAGCTCACAAAAATCATTGAGCTGTTCTCACAACCCTGGGTAACACTGTTCAGATTAACTGAGTCTTTTCACCCCATCTTGGGGTTTTCTTATTCAAAGGCAAATAACCTTAGGCTTCCTTTGGCCAAACCGGGCAGAAAAGGCATCCTTCAAATCCAGAAGGTAAACTCCACCTACTTATTCCTTAATTTGGTTAATAAAGTGTACGGATTTTTCACCACTGAGTGTATGCATTCTACTATTCTATTACTTGCCCTCAAATCTTGTACCAAAAAATAGCACTTGCTTTCCAACTTTTTTTTTTGTTGTTGTTGGCAGGTTTGGAGTATTGTATTGAGATTCATATTCAATTAGTAATCCAAATTATCCCAAAATTATCTATTATTTCTTTTATCCGCCTACAGTCACATATCCTCAAAGGGCACTGCTTTACCCTTACTGGGCTAGCTCTTGCTTTTAACTTAACTTCTATTTAGGACTGCATTTTTGGCTCTGCCAGGTATCCCCGATACCCACACTCCTAAGAGTATCTTACTCAAGATTTCTGTAACTTCTGGGGCTACAACCTTGTTTTTCCCAGTTTGTGTTAAAGGCAGACTTACAATTCTCAATCAGTTAATATTGTTTGATCCTTAGCTCCAGTTTTATTTAATTTCTTGCTAGAGTGATCTGACATGTACAAGATTTTATGTATTCCTACTTGTTTTCTCAGCCTATATTTAATTGATCCAAAAAAGTAAGCCTTTTCTTATTGGGCATTAGCTCCTACTGCTGTTACAAAATCACCTACAGGTGTTAAGAGGCACCCGTATCCACCAAAAGATAAACCTCTTTATCCTGCTCTCCTAGCTGTAATTTAACCAGTGGATCTGCAAGGGTAAACTTCCCAAATTCCCTTCCTTCATCTTTGCCTTCCTCAGCCTGTGTCCTTCCCAAACTTTTCACTTTCCAAACTCTCATCATTACATAAACTACTAACATCATATTTCAGTTTTACCTCCTCCTCTCCAGAGGCTTCCAGTGCTAACACTGGGATTTCATGTTTCCTAGATCTCTGCAGAGGCTGTTCTCACTTCCAGTGCCCTGTCCTCTCTGCCTCCCCCTTGGCAAGTACTGTTGTTTACAGCAGCAGTCTCCATCTGCAGCACACTCTCTCACACCAAGTTCCACTTGCGGGGGAACGGTGCGGGGGGGTTGCTCTCATGCCAGCACAGATAAACTCACTTTCTCTTTAACCCTTTTTCCTTTGTACATTATTCCACTATTCATACCCTAAGTTACACTTCCACATACCCTCAATTCTATTTCTGTATACCATTAACAATTAGCTTTCTTATACCATCAAAACAGTTTGTCCCCTTCCTTTCAAAATCCACGAACCAAACCATACAGTTCTTCAACTTCCACAAACACCCAGCACTTGGTCTCTCATGATTAGGGTACTCAATTATAAAACTGGTCCCATTATTCCATTTATGTTCTGGTTTCTTATTCAATATTCCCCCTCTGGCTCACCAGCAATGTTTTTCCAGTGAGCCAAAATAAAATGCAGGGGGTCTTCTCGGTATCACTTTAGACACCCCTTGTTCCATAACAGCCTCATAGGTAATACTTTCATGACATAAACATTTAACAACAACAAAGACAGAGACAATAATCAGTACAATTTATCCTCAGGATCCTTCCTCTCTCTGCCTCCCTCCAGGGTGCAACCTTCCCTCTGTATTCCTTTACTATGATCTATAGCATATGTATTTCCATCATCATCCCAATCTCATTTCATTTAAATGGACAAAATACGTACGTATGAACAAATAACACAGAGAACAAAACAACTTTTGCTTCATCTGTCTCTGGCCGCCTCCCTCACGGGAGAACAAAACAGTGGATCAGGACTCTGCTCTCGCTCCATAGCTCAGCTATGTCTCACTCTCACCACACTCATACAATACCAGCTTAGTAAAAACATACGTTCAAAATTTCTTAGTTCATAGTTCTAATTTCCTCAGAGAATATCCCAAATATTCTGATGGTATTAATTCAGATACACTGTACCGAATATTTACAACAGATGGTAATAGCAATTATATAACCTACAACTCCTGTTTTCACAACCAGGAGAACCCAGATAACCCTTTGACAAGATACCCACTATATCCTGTCCCCTTACCCTGCGTACAACTTACAAGGTTCGTTTGTGGGTGCTCCCCCCAAGGAGCTGCTCACCAGAGCCTGCCCACCCCAGCTGGCAACCTACCAAACCTGTGAGCTTACTTCCCAGGGGCAGCAGCAAGGCTATACCCCACGTAGGATGTCTCCATATGGCTTACAAGTCCCTTCATTCCATACACATACCTGGTCCACCGATGGATGGTCCTTGTCTGCTCCTGCAGTGATCGGATGAGGAAAAGGAGTCCTTCCGAGAAATCTCAGGGCGCACCTAAGGTGTCTCTCTTCTCCGAGCAGAGGGTGCCCCATCTGGGTCGCCAAATTGACGTGTGGAATCAAACTCTGTAACCCAAGTAAGATTACAAAGCAGGTATGGTTTATTCAGTGCTGCGCAGACACCTAGGTGCAAGGGGGATAGATCCGCCTAACTTGCACATCGTCTAGAAAAATCGTGCTACAGATATAGGCGAAACTAATACATAATCAATAGTTTTCCTGGAAGTCGGATACATATTCATTACACCCCGAGAGTTCACTAGCATGCAGACCTTCCCCTCTTGTGTGTGCGTAGTGGGTCGTGGGATGAAGATTTGTTGTTTTCCTCGCGAAGGCTTCTGACCGTTTTCACTGTAAACTCCTGGCCTTTTGGGGGGGCATCCCCCCAAAACAGTTTCTTCTTGCCCTGTGGACCCCCAGGAGGGGAGTACACTCAGGAGGGGAGTAAACTCTTCAAAAGGGCTGATAACAGCAGGACTAGGGGAAATGGATCCAAGTTGAAGGAGGGAAGATTTAGGTTGGATGTTAGGGGGAAGTTCTTTACAAGGAGAGTGGTTAGGCCCTGGAACGGGCTGCCCAGGGAGGCTGTGGATGCCCCGTCCTTGGATGTGTTTAAGGCCAGGTTGGACGGGGTCCTGGGCAACCTGATCTGAATGTGTATGTTTGGTGGCCCTGCTAGGCAGGGGGGTTGGAACTACATGATCCTTGAGGTCCCTTCCAACCCGGGTGATTCTGTGATTCTGTGTGGACATCTAATCACCTCCCTGCCAAATGTCCTCGGGCTATTCTCAAACCCTTATCTTTATGGCCTTCATCACCCTCACTATCCCAGACGCAGTGTCTGCCATCCCTTATTTTCTAACAATCTCTACATTCCTGCTTCTATAAACTATCTCTAACTATTCCCCTTCACCTCCCTTATTCTCAATCACTGTGAAGCCTTCTTGCCTTTTTTCTTTCACTTGTGGGGCCTGTCTCACCTTTCATCTCCAGCAAGATTTAATTCTATTTATATTTCATTCTACCTATTTTTAGTAACCAAACATTTCTTTCCTGCTCTTGGTGATCGTATTGCTCAATAGCATAATGTACTGAAGTTGTAGGCTGGGCATCTAAGCTGTATGAACCATCTGTTCACAATTCAGTTCCAGTAACAGACACCATAAAGGAGGCAATATCAACTTTCAAAAAAACTAATTTTAATAAAAACAACAACAAAAAAAATTGCTGATCATTAACAAGTTTATAAAACAGTGATTTAGTTACATAAATTGATATCAGTGTATCAAATCTTAATTACTTTCAACTTCGTGACAGTGTTTACATGGCTGATGAAGTACAACCTTTTAACCTATTATAATAAATAAATAAAATGGAGAACATGAAATAGTTTTTCTAAACAGAAATACCTACAAACATAACTCTAGCATGTTCTCTAATGAAGGGAACAAGTAACACTGGACACCTTTTGCACCAAAACATAAAATCTGCTTTAAAAACCACAAGGATAGAGAACCATCAGCTGGAGTGAAGTCACTGTATTGTAACCAAAGTTGGTATTTAATAATATAATGAACGGTTTGGTAGTTAGATCTCCAGTTTGGTTATTTTAAAGCATTAAGACAAGGCAAGATAGAAGGCTGCTTTTGTTTGAGTAATTCTAGAGAAAATAAAATATATTTAAAGAAACCCTGAAAAGTAGAACAGTCATACCTACTCAACTTTCTGTTCCTCACAAAGTCAAAATACTTATGCAGAATATGTATGTATATATATATAATATATATGTTGTTTGTGCACAAATGTTAGATTATTAGTAGCTGACTGCAAAGGCTACAAATCTTGTCAGCCATTTTGGAAAACATTTTGTTTTGTGTCAAAATTCTTTTTCCAGGCTAGGAAGCAAGAATCTTGATTCTGGCATACTGAATTCTTAATGCCAAGCCTTGCTGCCCTGGCTGTGTATTTTTTGTTGTCCCTCTTTACTATGGTGCCTGTTAGAAGCATGTGTGTATATATATATATGTATACAGGAGTTGTGTAATTATAAATATATAAAAATCTTCCCCCAGTAGGTATCAGTCTAACCATGGAATCTAAAAGGTGGTTCTGCATAGATGCCCAACATACAGTTCACCACCTGAGCCAACCCTGCAGCAAGGCGCACTTTCATCCATCTGATAGATATTTTTTCGTTTGAAACCAAGCTACTGCATCTTCAAGTATTCTGCATTACACAGATTTTTAAAATATAAATTAATGTTATATTTTTCAATATTCAGACATATACTATAATATATATAAGTATAATAAATGCTCTCATTCTTCTTCTATTTTTTTTTTTAATAAATCCCTGAGAATGTATGTTGACAGTAGCTAAGTTTCCACATGCATAAGCATTGTTTGTCATGCTTCAGGATGAACAGCACTGCAAAGCCATGTGGTCAGCCTTAACTATTAGTATTTCACTTATTGGTTTGTTTAAATATGCTGAATGTAAGGATGAGTTACAAAGGAATAAAGCTGAATCCATTTGAGGTATTTATCACAGGATGGAGATATTGTTTTGTTTTGTTTTGTTTTGTTTTGTTTTAAAGCCATTGCAATATATGCTTGGTTTTGAGGCTGCGCATGTATACAGAGAGGAGAGCGATATGGGCTCTTGCCACTTGACAACATATACTCAGTGTAAACCAAACCTTTTTTAACAGAAAAAAGGAGAAAAGTAAACACGAACTTTCACAACATGACAATTTAGTTTGCAAACTCAGTACAACTATACACATATAATACCAGTGTGGCTCTTTTTCTTTAAGTTAAAAAGGCAAGCTCAAGTAGAAACAAATCGTCCCTTCCCTCCCCACACTTTCATCAACCAAACCGCTCACGAACCAACATCATCAATTTCTTTTTGCCTTTATAGATTTGTTTTAGGTTGTCAATAAACTGTGTAAACTGGATCTGTCCATCATGAGACATTAAGAAGGTCTCTCGGGCCTTGCTGAGGAATTCTATAAACTCACCATAGTGTCGAGGGCTGATGTGAGTGAGACGCGAATGAGTTGTATTAATGTAGGCTCCAATTGTGGCATCCAAGAGTTGCCTTAAAGGGGCTTTGTCCAGTGACATGAGCTTAACAGAGTTCCTCCTTCCCTGAAGTCCCACCATGCCAGGAGTGGTCAAAGTACACCTACGCAAAATGTCTGACAGTACTGTTGCACATTTGACACTTTTGACTACCAGAGGTATTATAGCTGCTAGCTCATTTTTCCCAAGGGAGTGGCTGAGTGCACATGCCCACAAAACATCATTAATAGCAGGGTGTGTGTCCTGATTGTAACTCAGGTTGAGATGTGTCATGGCCAGAGTGGCCAACTTGTAGGCCCGTGTGGGGTAACCACGGTGCTCCATGTATCGTGCTACAGTAAAAAGCTGCGAGTAGCTCATGCCGGTTGTAGCAGCATCTAGAACGATTTGGTAAGCAGTCTCAAAAGCTATGCGCTCTTTTTCACATAAAGTCAGTGCAGAGAGGGCACAGTTTTGAGGATCCTTCATGGCACACTGTAGAGCAAGCGTCCTAGCACTGCCGGCCAGCTTCTCCTGCTGAAGGCAGTCCAGATGCAGATGGACAATTGTACTATTGGACATCACTGTTGTAGCAACAATACTAGTGGCTTCCGTTGGAGTGAAAAGTGTAAACCAGTTTTGCATGATGCTATCTAGTGCATGAACACCTGGGAGAGAAAAAAAAGAATTAGCCATAACTGATAAAATCAGGCAGATACAGATGTTCAAAAAGAGAACCAGTTACCAGTTAACAGATAACATGGATAAAAAAGGATATTAAAACAAAAGATACTAAATCACTGAAATGCAGAGAAAAACAAAAAAGCCTGCAAAATAAGCTTTAATCTGCTGGTGTAACAACTGAGCGGTTTTATGTGTTATTTAAAACCATTTGAATAACAATTTCTGGCTCATTTGGTCTCTATTACTAAAAAGCAGCTCTTATAATGAACACGTCTTAAAAAGAAATTTTAAATTCTTTTCTCAGTGCGCATTTCAAAATAGAGCACATGCACAAAAGAACAAGAAAACATGCTAAATAGATCACTTAATAGAACACTGCATTTAATACCAAGCACGTCTTAAATAAAAAATCTTAATACCTGTAACAACTTTTCAGATGTATCTTGTATCACATTCATATGCAACAGAACATCATGCTCTTATTAGAGAAGTACACGCTACTGGCTTTTATCTGAAATTGATATTTTCCTTATTTCTGGTGTGAATAGTTCATTCCAGGGGGCCCCACTGTGCAATACAAGGAGTGAGACCCCAGTACACAGCCCAAGTATCTGTGCAGATATTCAGGATATTGTCACCGGTTTCCTTAGTTAAAACCATCCACGTGGCTTGCAGTTCTGCCCATTGGCTACTCTGACCATCCCCCTCTTCAAACTAGATTGTTTCAGTGGAGGAATGGTATGTCAGTGCTCTCCACTTGCTCGGGTTACCCTTGCTGGACCCATCTGTATTCTAGGCATCTTCAGGAATGGGATACTTCCCTTCCTGAATGGGACACTTCTCTAGTGGAATGTCCATTTTCTCCTCTGGCACATCACCGTGATAAGTTACAGGGCCTAGGATCTTCCAGAGCTCTTATTTCAGCGGTGATATAGACAGACTACTCCTCTGGATGAGATAGGCAACCCATTATGCCACTGTCTGTGCTTGGGCCACCCCTGTCTTAGGAAGGTGAGTCAGATATCTCACCCAGCCCTGAATTGGCAAGGTGGTCTTCACTATGACTTCAGCTTTTTGGGTTATTGGATCTACCACTCGTATTGCGGAGTAGGCAGCCAATAACTGTTTTTCAGTCATACTGCAGCTTTCTTCTGCTCTGTGACAAACCTGAGACCAGAACCCAACCGGGCTTTGAACAGAATTTTGTCACCCTCATAGACTCCAGAGGAACACATCCTGAGTTACATGAACACCTAGTTCAGCTGGAAGGGTGGGATCCAGTATACCCAGTGCCTGGGACTGTTTAACAGCTAGTTTTGCTTGCTGGAATGCCTCTTGTTCCATTCTCCCCCAGTCCCACCTTTGGCTTTGCTTTGTGAGTGGATACAAGGGCCTCAGCAGCTGCACTTAGTGGGGTATAATGGAATGCCATTATCCCAATATACCCAAAAATTCTTGCAGCAGCCTTGGTGCCGTAGGGACTAGGAACACCTGAAACTTGTATATTATTTCACTGGATAGTACTCTGGTCTTTCCTGACCAAACTATACCCAGGAATTTCACCTACAATCTTGGTCTTTGTACCTTCTGTGGGTTTATAGTCCACCCTTTCTCTTGTAAATGAGTAGTCAATGAATCTACAGCCTATCCTAATGACTCCACTGAGTCAGACGTCAACTGACATCATCAATATAGTGGAACAGTTTGATGATATTAGGATTATTCCACTTTGCCAGATCACAAGCCATAATTGTCATAAGTTAGATGACAATTTGTTGCTGAATGCACGTACCCTTGTTACTGGACTGGAAAGGTCCACTGTCTGCCTCCCCACTTATAGGCAAACAGGTTTTGTGAGTCTGCATGAATGGGAATACTGAATAAGGCATTTGCCAAGTCTAGGACTCAGTGGTAGGTTTCTACCTCCCTACTCAATGTGTCCATCAGGGAAGCAATATTGGGTAGGGCTGCATGAATGGGGGGCGTGACCTTATTTAATTCTCACTAATCCACTGTCATTCTCAGTGGATTACACTCTCCTTCTGCATGACTCAGTAAGGACCTGCTGGGCAAACTGAGGGCAAAGAAATGTGCACACAAGCTCTGGAAACAAGGGTGTGCCATCTGGGAAGAATACAGGGATGCCGTCCAGACTCCTCCTTTGGTAAACGATAAATAAATTAAATAAAATGGAGAACATGAAATAGTTTTTCTAAACAGAAATACCTACCAGACATACCTCTAGCATGTTCTGTGATTCTTTGATTCTCCATGTGCCATATGACTTTCGCACTGGCCATATGGGGAAATTATATGGGCTATGTACAGGTCTTATGATCCCTATTTTTCTAGTTCCTGCACCAGTGCAGGTATTTCCTCTTGCCCCCCCCCCCAGGGGTCTACAGTGTTTAGTATTAGTAATCCAGTGCAGATTTGGCAAGAAAATAGCTGCATGTTATGCACGGCCTCTTAATATCACCTGCACTGCCTGGATACTAATACCTCTCTCTCTCAGTCTGAACTCTCTTATGGTTGTCTAGAGAGTCAGACCCCATAGTATATCTATGCCCAGTATATCCTCTAGGACTGGGGCAATAGATACCTTATACTCCCAGGGTGGGATGTGCCCAACCCCCAACTTCAACCATGTCTAGGTTACGGGGATGGTCTGTCCCACAAACCCACCAGTCACCACCCTATTTCCCTGGAATTTGGCTGGAACACCATAAATAACCTGTTTCTGCGCCTGTGTCAACTAGTGCCATAACTCATTGTATATTCTTTCAGGAGCAAAAAAGAGCAAAAAAGAGTCAGTTTGACACAGTGCCTCCGGCCACATCTGGGAGCTTGAGGTGCAGGGGGGCTGGCATCCCCGGTCATGCAAGTAACTGTACAAATGCTAATTCTTTTTCCTCAGGTCGCTCAGATGCAGTGGCTGGGGTCACTTGAGGAGGCTTTTTCCTTTTATTGGGAACTAGGAAATCATCTAGCTACCATGTTCTTGTTGGTACCTTTTGAATAATTCTCATTCCTGCTTTTTTGGATGTATTTTGAGGCTTTTGATTTTCCTCCAGCTGCCTCCAGAGCTGGAGGAGGACATAATTGGGCTGGAAATCAATTTTAGCAAATTGAACCTCAGCCCAGATTAAGTCATTTAACATTTGCTTTTATGATACCCATATGGGTCCTGATTGAGTAGTCCGTGGGGCGGATCTCCTGGTTTTAGTTACGAGGAGGACCTCAGCCCCTTCCAACATTTGGATATTGTACCTGGTATGAAGGTACTCTGTCTCTCTCAGATCAGCCATCAATTGGGCAGCCTGTTGGATGATGGCCTCTTAGGCCACTAAGGGGTTCAGTACGGACACCAGTGTGCCATACCGGTGGGGAGGAGCTTGTTCTAATATGAGGTCCCTCATCCCCATCGAACTTAACTAAATTGGGACTCTGGAATGCATCATCATAAATTGCCTCTTTCTTTCCCAGTTCTCTAATATAAATTTGAAGTTCCTCCATCGAGGTCCATAGACCAGCATTTATCAGAACATCACTTTTGTTTGGCCATGTGATTCTACATACTGCCATTATCCATTGTATTACAGAATGGTTTTTGTCATTACGTATGACAGTGGCATGGAGCTTTTGTCTGAGAGCCGAATGTGTGGTAATGGATTCAAGTTTAGAAATATCGGGCTCATTAATTACCACACTTTCAGCCCCCATGTCCCATAATCTCAACAGCCAAGCTGGTATGGTCTCTCGTGGTCCTTGCTTAAATTGTTGTAACAGATCCATGAGTTCAAGCAGCTGTATACAGTCACGCTGTTACATGTAATGAGGTATGTGCAGGGGGCCACTCTTTGGGTGCCAACCCTGCTGGTCTGTCTTTGATTTTCTTTGTTTTCTGAGTTATTACTGGCCTTTTTTTCAAGAGGATCTGAGGTTCCTCTAGTTGGCTTTTAGTCTGCTTGGCCTTCTTTTTGTTCTTGGGTTCAACTAGGATCCAAAGATCCTGTTGATCCAAGTCCTTTTCCTGTTCTAGTGACACAGGTCTCTATTTCCAAAGGGGAAGTTCCATTTGAAGGTGGGGAAGTTTGCCCTGTCAAAGACGTAATTTTATCCTCTAGTTGTCTCATGTGAGCTTTCAAAAGCTCGTTTTTAACTTCTAATTCTTCCTCCAATAGTGAGAAGCAGGAGCCATACCACAACAGATGCTGTTACTATTTTTTCCTCAGTTGTAAAAATTTCTGTCCTAATTTATTCAGGAAATGGTCTATTTTTGATGGGGATTTAATAACGGGACCATTGTCCCTCATAGGCCCCCATTCTTCAATAATCCAACCAGCACTCAGCCACGGGTAACCCAGGAATCCCAGGGTTTCCCCCAGGAGTTCCTCTCTCAGTGTATTCAGGGTCCCACTAACCTTACAACACATAACTTCTTTTAAAGTAATCCATTGTAAATAAGTACCTGGCTGGCTCACCAAGTATAACACTACAATGTGTGGGAAAACAACAATAACAGCAGGGTAGCAGAGATTCAGGCTGTAGTAAGTGAGAATCAGCTTAATCACAACAGCCATGAGCAAAAAAAAAAAAAAAAAAAACAAAAAAAAAAAAGCTGCTCAACTTCAGAATGCCACAGATAGACTAGAATCTCCAGAAAGATACCTTTACCTCCACTTTCAACCCTTAAATGAGATCTGGGAGGGTGTGGATCCTGGCTCCATTTCTTCCAGTCACTCAGGTGCATTGCTTACACCTGAGCTCCCCTGGGTTGGCCCTGCCTTCCCACCAGGTGCTCAATGGCTGTTTCAGGCTGTGAGATAGCATTTCTGCCACATATAGTTTTATTATGATATATAAACTAATTTAAAGCAGTATTAAAAACAATATTTTATTATTATTTTATTTATTATTAGTTATTAATTCATTATTAATTTGTTATTATTTTTAATTACAATTGAGGGCTACAAGCTTTTTAGAAGGGATAGGCAAGGTAGGAGAGGCAGAGGAGCTGCCCTCTGTTAAGAAGTGGATAGACTATGAATAGCTGCCTCTGAGAAACGGTCAAAATGGGTTGAGAGCTTGTGGGTTTAAAATTAGGGACCAGGGGATCAGTTTAATAAAGGAAATCTAGTGATCGGGAACTACTACTGGCTGTCTGATCAAGGGGAGACTGTTGACAAGGCCTTCTTTCTTCAGCTACAAGATGCCTCATACTCACAGGTTCTCATCCTGATTGGGAATTTCAACTACCTGGATATCTACTGAGAAAACATGGTGACTTGCTAGCAATACAGGAGACTCCTAGAATCCATTGAGGATAATTTCCTGATCCAGATATTGGACATACCAAAAAGAGGGGAACAATTGCTGGACCTGATGCAAACCAGTGCAGAGGAAGTCATTGAAGAGGTTAAGATTGGGGCAAGCTGGTCTGTAGCAATCATGTTCTGGTGGAGTTCATGATCTCAAAGAACATCGTAGTGTTGATCTGCCTGAGGGTAGGGAGGCCCTTCAGAGGGATCTAGATAAGCTGGATCGCTGGGATGAGGTTCAACAAGGCCAAGTGCCAGGTCCTGCGCTTTGGGCACAACAACCCCATGCAGTGCTACAGGCTTGAGGGAGAGTGGCTGGATGACTGTGAATAGGAAAAGGACTTGGGGGTGTTGTTTGAAGCTTGGCTGAACATGGGCTGACAGTGTGCCCAGGTAGCCAAGAGGGCCAATGGCATCCTGGCCTGCATTAGAAATAGTGTGGCCAGTGGGAGCAGGGAGGTGATCATCCCCCTCTACTCAGCACTGGTGAGGCTGCACCTTGAGTACTGTGTTCGGTTTTGGGCCCCTCACTAGAAGAAAGACATTGAAGCCCTGGAATGTGTCCAGAGAAGGGCAACAAAACTGGTGAGGGGTCTGGAGCACAAGTCTTATGAGGAACGGCTGAGGGAGCTGGGATTGTTCAGTCTGGAGAAGAGGAGGCTCAGGGGAGACCTCATTGCACTCTACAACCTCCTGAAGGGAGGTTGTGGTGAAGAGGGATTTGGCCTCTTCTCCCAGGCAACAAACAGGACCAGAGGAAATGGCCACAAGTTGTACCAGAGGAGGTTTAGGTTAGACATAAGGAAAAACTATTTATCTCAGAGAGTGGTCAGGCACTGGAATGGCCTACCCATCTCCCTTATGAGGAAAGGCTGAGAGACCTGGAACTGTTCAGCCTGGAGAAGACTGAGAGGAGATCTTATCAATGCTTATAAATATCTAAAGGGCAGATGTCAAGAGGATGGAGCCTGAATCATTTCTGTGGTGCACAGTGACAGGACAAGGAGCAACAGACACAAACTGAAACACTGTAAGATCCTTCTGAACATGAGAAAAAAATTCTTTACTTTGAGGGTGACAGAGCACTGGAACAATCTGCCCAGAGATGTTGTGGAGTCTCCTTCTCTAGAGGTATTCAAAACCTGCCTGGATGCTTTAATGTGTAACCTACTCTAGGGAACCTGCTTTAGCAGGGTGGTTAGACTAGATGATCTCCAGATGTCCTTTCAAACCCCTATGATTCTGGGATTCTATGAAAGAAAGAAAGGAAGCATGCTTTCCAGAAGTATCTCTAGTGATGAATAAAATTTGATTAAAATTTTCCCTTATCATCATGGTATTTAAATAGTCCTCGCTATCACAGCTGTTGATTATTTTATTACTTTAAATAGCTACATAGTTTTTAATGCCCTTATTTTCACTTCTAAATGTTTTATTCTTATCTTGCAGATGGTAAGCTGGAATACAGAAGCTAAAGGTATATCTTATCAAGACACAGGAAACCTATGGCAAAGCACAGAAGTGAACAGAATGTCCTGCTGAGTACACTTCTCCTTCTCCTGTGAGAATCAAGTGTTGTTTCTGCTTTAGAATTGTATAATATTATTTTTATTTTATGATCTCCGCTATCATA